CTTTGGAGCATGTGAAATGATTTATATGTTTTAGGTCATCCTTGTTTTTACCTCTTACTCAATTATGATATGCAATTTGATTATGTTAGAGCATGGATATATTGGTAATATAACCCATTTTTCTTCTCTCTTCATTTCCTCTTCTCCCTCTGAACTTGATGAATTTTGGAGGATGAGCTATAATTTTCTTCTTCTATCTTTTTACCAGTTTCCTCCTCGCTCTTGTTTGATTCTTCATTCTGTACTCACCATTCAGATTTTCTGAACATGATTTTTCCTGGAAGAGTTGAGAAACAATATCATATCAATGGTAAAGAATTCAGTGGCACTTAACCACCCAGGTGCTGAAAATATGAAACCACGGCAATTTTCTGATGCCAAACATAAAGAGATTGGGTAAGGTTGTTCTCTAATTAATTGACTTAAAAGGAAATAAGTTATCTTTTCTTTAGTCAACCTTTAGATTTCTGATAAAAATTTCTATAGTGATTATAAACTTTCATGAGTATTTTTTGTTGGAAAAAAGACTATGGTAACATTGAAGTTTCTGATTTGGTTATATGTAGAGTTTCTTTACTCAACCTTTAGATTTCTGATAAAAGTTTCTTTATTATGCGAGTTAGCAGAGAACTGGTTATACGTAGAGTTTTATTTCGTTGTATTTCTCTATTCTAGGGAAAAAGTCATGAGCCAAATTTTTGATGGTGTCTGGAACATAATTAGATCTGGGGATGGCATGAAAACAGAGATAGTTGAAACAGTGCAATCAGTTTACAATAAATTGTCAAACCCAGGAGGAAATAACCATTGGGAGACATCTTCTCACGTTGATTTGCAGCCTGTTGGTAAGACACTTGAGAATAATGTGCATGCTATTGTTTCAGTCAATGATATTGATGCTACAGTGACCAATGGTGAGCAAAATGAACCGCCAGGGTCTGCGTTAAGTGATCAAGATCAAAGTAAGAAGAACGATGCTGCATTTTTTATATCGCAAGTGTAAGATATCATAACAAGTAATATAGTAGACCTTTGAGTCCGGATTATCGTTCCCACGAGAATTATACTTAGGACTTAATCTAATTTTTCTTAACTCCTATTTGACAAAAGCAAGTAAATATTTATGATGATTGTGTTTATTTTTTCCTAACTAGTTTTGACTAATTGAAAATATAAAATAATTACAAATAATGGATAATTCAAATTCAAATATATGATGAATATTAGAGAATAACAATTTTCTCTATTAATCACATTTATTCTTAATTCAAGATTCATAATATAATGTAGTGTTCGATCGAATCCTTTTATTGTATTCAATTTACCCATCTCAAGTTCTCATTGATCCTATTTAACTAATCCAACTCCATATCTCTATGTGAATTAACTTTAGTTAAATGAAACAATGGTTCTAAGAATTCATATTATGATCGCAATAATTCGTTAGGTATCTCTACGCGTTATACTAATTTACCGAATTTTATTATATAGTCTAAATCTCAAACTCACCTCTCGATCCGTAAGAGACTCATATAATTATCAAATTATTGATCATATAATTTAATGTATTAAACTCATAATAAAACAAACACATAAATAAATAAATCACATAAATCTTGAATAAAAAAATAAATGATCACAAGTCGACTACATTGTTTTCCCTAACATAAAAATTACTTATTCATATTGTAAAAATAAAAACGCGCAAAAGTGAAAAGATATCACCAAAAATTGACGAAACTGAAAATTAGTTATTCACATAAATTTTGTCATTTTCGCCACTTTTACATTCTTTTCTCCAATTCTTCATTAAAAATAAAGTTTTACCTACAAAATACAATATAACATAATTTAGGTAGAATTTAATCCAAAAGACAATAAAATATCATAATTTAGGGCCACGAATAAGTGTATAAACTACACTTATCACATCACCAAACTTGAATCTTTGTTTGTCCTCAAATAAAATTAAAACCTAACAAACACACAAAAAAACAATGTTAATTACTTAATTGGTGGCTAGTCAATCAAGTAAAGCAACAAGATTTAGCTAGTTAACCTGACTTTTTATCTAGGGATTGAAATCATAATAAGAAATCTATGCACAGTTTCAAAATCATAATACAAAAATTAAAATCCATTTTTCTAATATAAAATTGACGTCTGTGTGAAGAATTAAATAGCATTATGAATTCATAAGTTGTTTCAATTACAGACCATCAATGGTCAAATATGTTCTTTCATCACTCGTAAGATTCACACCCCCAAACTTATTATTTTCACTCTTTTTCAGTGTGTAAACTAATATTTGATTTATTTATTTTTTTACTGTCCCCACCTCTCTAATTTGACAAAATTTTATCAATTGTAGTTTAAGATTTCAATAAACAAAGATTCTCCATTAAATTTGATTGTTTCAATCTCTAGGACTTAGTTAGGCTAACAATCTCTTATCAAAAGTCAAATTTTTTTAAACAAGTGTTTGAGACTTAACCAAGGCATTTGGTGGGTATTCTATTTCATGCACTTGTTTTTTATTTTTTTCAAATGAGTAATTTTTTTCTTTATTTGAAGCACCATATCCCTTAAAATTTCTAAATGACTCATGTAATAAACTTTCGACCAATGACACTCAAGTCAGATGATCATATGGTACCATGTTTTAAAGACACTTGCAGGCTTAATTACTCAAGTCATAAAGGTTACAAAGAGAAATTTTCTAATAAAATATGTTTTATGCCTTGATTAGTGTAATGTCCCTCATTTAACACCAATTCAAGTAAAACAACCTCCAACTTGAGATTTTCACCAAATTGCATCCTATTAACCTTAGACAATCCACACACGATTTTTATTCACACAGAAATCCCTATTTACCTCAACATCTTCCTACAACAGTGAAATCCCCCCAAATTATTCTAAATTTGGTCCAAAAATGTAAAATTTAGTGGTTTTGGGTTTAACATCTATGGTCCACTATTTCAATATATTCAATTATGAAATCAATTCATTCCAACACAACGCTTAACTTAATTTATGTGCTCAATATATATCAAATTTCACATACAAAAATAAAAATTAATCTAAACATACAACTTATTCACCATTCATAGATCAATTCATGATTTAATATATTCATTATTGCTAGCCTGACCAACTAACTCACACAAGTACACAAAATATTTTTTTTTTTACTAAAGTAATAAAAGCACACAAAAACATAAAAAATGAAGACTTATGCTTTTCACCCTCAAATTTAGACTAGACATTATCCTCAATGTCTTTAATCCTAAATCCGCATATAAAGGGGTGGGGAAGAATGTGAAGAAATGACTCTCGTGATATGACTTGTAATTCAATGGCTAGCTTTCCTATTACTTCCGTTGGCTCTTTGGTCAATATTGAAAGCACACAAAAACATAAAAAATGAAGACTTATGCTTTTCACCCTCAAATTTAGACTAGACATTATCCTCAATGTCTTTAATCCTAAATCCGCATATAAAGGGGTGGGGAAGAAAGTGAAGAAAAGACTTCCGTGTCATGGCTTGTAATTCAATGGCTACCTTTCCTATTAATCTCGTTAGCTCCTTGGTCAATTTTGGTTTAAATGTTCCGCGACATCATGTTCCTGAAAGATTAAATAAAACATTAAGATCAAATAATTGGAACAAATGTTATTTAGCTCTAACATCTAATACACCAACTAACATATCGAAGATATAAGGGGAAAACAGATATGGATAAGGAGTCACAAATAAACTTAAAATAAATTAAACTATCCTAAAACTAAAAAACAAAATAAATTAAAAGGAGATAAAGCTTGGGTTGCCTCCTAAGAAGCGCTTCTTTAACGTCATTAGCTTAAATCTGTGCCGTGTTTGATCATGGTGGCTTGAACTAAGTTATCCCATCTTTGCACTTTGTGCAATTTTTATTTATCCACCATTTTTTTGCTCTCCATATTTTGATACTTTCATTTTCATCACTACCAAGAAGTCCATCGAAATTTGATTTTCTATTCTGACAGCTTCGTTGATCAAGTGGCTCTTCTTCGTCAATTCTACACCAATTATTGTTGTTGAAAGGTTTCTTAAATGGGGTATAAATATCAAATATCTCTTACTTGTACTCCATCCTCAATATTAGCTCACCCTTCTCCATGTCAATTAGAGTTCGACCATTTGCTAAGAATGACCGACCCAATATAATTGAAATGACTTGATCTTCTGGTATGTCCAACACAACGAAATCCACATGAAATATTAAATTTCCTACTTTTATGAGCACATCCTCAACTTTTCCACGTGACTTTGAAATTGTTGTATCAGCTAGTTGTAGCTTATTGATGTTGATTTTACTTCACTCAATCCCAATTTCCTATAAACTGAATATGACATTAGATTTTTACTAGCACCTGTGTCACACAATGCATTAATAACACAAGAATTTCCAATTGAAATATGCAAAGTAAAACTCCCTGGATCTTTCAA